TTCATATTTATTATTATTATTATTATTTATTATAAATATTTTTAGCTGCCACATGCTAAATGGTTTTTATTTTTAAAATTTTTTTTTTGGTTTTATAAAATATATACGAGATTATTTCTAAGCAAATAAGAAGGTATTAATAATTATAATCTATAAGTAATATAAAGCTTGAGCCCCCCCCCCCCCAAATAAATTTATCAAGCTCCGCTTATGACCTTATGAGAAGAGAGTATCTCTTCCACTAGTTCTTTTTGAATATTCATCTCGCTGTTACAAAAATTTTTATTTAGTCATTTTATGGATAACTTATGATAAAATTATAAATAATTATGATAATTAAGCCACTTTATTACAAAATGCATTTAATTTATTTTATAATAATAATCAAATAACTTTATTTTTTTATCGACTGTTTTAATAAAATGTTAAATCAACATGGCTTTTAAAATAAAAATTAATGGGACTCATTTAAAATTTAAAAAAACATAACTATTTACAAGATTATAAATATTGAGCAAAAATTATAGTTTCAACGTGGTACGTTTAGTAAAGCACTAATAATTAATCGTAAGTACAATTACTTAGTGTACGCAACTGTAAGTAAAACAATAATATTTAATAACTAGATTGTCTTTTCATTGAAACAATATTTAATTTTTTTATACAAAATAAGGTATATTTATAACATATTAGTTAATATAATGCAGATATACAACAAAAAATGTGCTAAGTTTATTTCTTATGAGTTATTCACAGAAAAATGTATTGACTACTAATTGGTAGGTTACAAAACTGTTAGTAATTAAATAAAATACATTTTAAGACGATCAGATATAAAATTAACAATAATTAATTTAAGTAGGCATTTTTAAATATTTATTTAAGTGCACTTTATGTTTATAAAGAGTTTAGAAAAAATTTGTTGAGTTCATATATAATGATTGCATTTAATGTCTTAAGTATGTAGTCCCATCCTCTCTTATAATTATATAGTATATGTATTAAAGTCAATTATAATTTAAATAAAATTGTACTCTATAATTTTAGAATTTCTAAATTTGATAATAAGATTATTAAAAATACTGAATTTAATTTATTTTATTAAATTCATATAGTTATTATAATGGTCAACTTAAATAAGAAAATAATTAATTTGTGTTGGAAAAACACTGTTACTTGCTAAACTATTGATTTTTTAATTTCATATTATACCTATGTGTTGTAACATTAATTTTTGACTAATTATATTTTATATATACCTACATTTTGTTACCCTTAAAAAAAGTCCTGTAAATAGTAGAACTATTAATATTAAGTGGTTGTGAGCTGAAAATATTCATTTGAAGAGTATAAGACATGTAATTTTCCAATAAGTAAGTAAACTACTATAAAGTTAAGAGGACACTACTCCTTAATACATTATCTCTGTCTTACAAACACATTACATTGCAAATTTACCATTAAAAAGAAATCATTTAACTCATTTATACTAACATTACAGTTAATTTACCTATCATAAAATTTAAAAGTAAGAATATTACATAGAGAATCTCATAATTTTTTTTTTTTTTAATTTTAATTTTAAAGCAAGTTATGAACATTCTAATATTCTAAGTTATTTGTAAATTTTATGGTATTAATAACTTGCTTAAAAATTATTATACAAAAAAAAATCCACGAGGTTCATCAGATATTGTTTTAAAATTGATACATTTTATCAAAGGTAAATTGTTAGTAGTATTAAGTATAAATGAATTAAATAGGTTTTTCAGAACGTAAAATCTGCCATGTTATGTGTTTGAAAAAACTGAGACAATGAATGCAATGTACTCTTAATGAAAAATTATTATACAAACAATAGAAAAAAATAATTGATTATGTATCATTGTGTATTGTTTGTGTGATGTACCTACGTATATTAAATTTTAAATATATTCACACATAGATGAAATAAAATTTGTTTTAAGTACACTGTTATAATATTATAGTATTGGGTACTAACATAACTCAGTATTACACAAGGAGCATATAAGATAATTTAAAGCATTAAACTCCACATTAATGAAATTAAGTTATTAAACCATAAAAGAATGGCTATTATTCATGTTTAAAAATTTAAATTAATAAAATATAGTACGGATATCCATTAAGTCATAAAAACATGTGTTTATGATCATACTATGGCAAATTAGACATCGGTTTGATAATTGATCCACAGTTATTTTTCTTTTATTATTAAAATAAAGAATTTACAATCTGTAACATATACAATAAGCAAATAGAATATAATAAGAGATGATAATATTTACATGGTAATATGTAAAAATGTTCGTCTAGTTTTAGAACCCTTAACCCACACAGTTAAAACACAAATACTTGAGCCCACAAGGCAAGCAAGTTTGTGTTTTCAATTACTAAGGCAAATATCATAACAATTTATTTGTCTTTTTAATGCAATGGTATTATTATCTATTGGCCTATTGCTATGTGTGGGATATCTTCTAGTTCTCTTATAATTCTCTGTTGTTCAATTTCAAAAATCTCTGATATCTTGGACTGAAAAAAAGACAAATGTAAAATATGTTTTTTAATTTTAAGATGAAAATTATAAAATATATTTTGATTTAAAACTAGAAAACTGGTCTTAATTAATTTATCATTGGTCTAATAAATTTTAGATCTGGCGTCTTTCTATTTCTACGGTTAATTAATATATATTTATAATTACTAAATAAGTATTATTTTGAATTTAGATATTTTAAATTTAATAAAACCCAAACCTCCAATATCTTCACCTACATTGGCAATAAGAATGTCTTCCAATTGGTAAAGAATTTGTTCTGAAACGTCATCTTATTTATTTACAATTATTATTAGGTAATTACATATTGTTATTGTGAATATTGAATTGTGATTATTTTAGTTATTGTTTTACTGGCTAAACTTAATTAGTTTCCAAATTTCAGGTTGGGACAATTACATAATTTCTATTATCACTTTCATATTTTCATTTTAAAAAATACAATTTTTTTTGAAAATGTATGCTCTCATAAAATATTAATTTTTTTTATATTTTATATTCATTTAATAATAAATTAATGTCTTTGTATTTCTTTTAAGAGATATTTTGTACCTGCATTATAAATCAAATGTCCAGTATATAAAAGAAACTCTCTCATTTAAATTCAGTCCTAAGCCAATTGTTTGTAACCTGAACTTATTATACAGTACATCATCAGTTCTTTATACTTTTTTTTTATATACCAAATTCTTAAATGTTCTTTTCAAAAGCTTAGTTATTGTAAAAGTTAGTGTTTTTTAAATTAATTTTAATTTGAATATTAGTTTATATGATTCTGTATTTTACCTTACAGGATTAAAATTATAATTATTTTAGGAAATCTTGGGTCATGTGCAACCAGAATTTTTATAATTTAGCACCAGGAAATATGTTGGCTTAAATTACTGAGCCCTACCTTGTAGTTAATTACATCATTTCTTGTTATGATTCCTGATTCCTGAAACATATCTCTTTTAATGATCCTCCATACACTTCTTTAAGCCATTTCAGTTTTACGTATCATCAATGTGTATGCCACTAAAAATACCTGTTAAAAGGTTAGATATGTGGTATACAAGTTTAAGTATAGATTGTCATATAATTATATATTATAAAATAATAACTGTGTATGTATTTTATACTTCTAATATTTCCATCATCTCTAGTTTAATAATTTACTATGCATATTAAGTACTAACCAATATATTATGATTCTCTATAATCTATATCTGGTATTAGAATTTGGAATATTTTATTTCTAACAAAAGCTATGTATTTTTAAAGTATTTATAGGTTTCAGTGTACATTGGTTAGATCTGCAAACCTTACTGCGGAAATCAATGCATTAGTATGTAAGAGATGGGAAGTCTTACATATGTTAAACTAGCTGAAGTAATAGAGCAAATTCTAAATTTATTTAATATTCGATCAAAAACAACCTGCTTTGTAACTGATAATGCTTAACATTTTGCTAAAGCTTCTAGGTAATTTTTATAGTTATAGAAATATGCTTTTGAGTTTATAATAATTTAAATATGTTTTGTTATAGGACATTTGGTGTTTCTGAGCTTAATGATAATAATGAAAATGAAAATCACGATGTGATTGAAATAATTGAATTAGAGTATGCTGAAAATATTTTGACACTATGACTGATGGTGAAGTATTATATAATTGTCTTTCAACTAAACATAGATGTGCTGGCTACCATTGATAGATACAATTTACAAAAAATTAAAATTCCATATAGAACTATTAACTGTAAACCATTTTTGGTAAATGCCAAAAAATATTTAATAAGCAAAACCAATGTTTTTTTAGCAGCAGACAAAATTAAAAATATTTTAAGATATTATTTAATAGTTCCTAATGCTATAAGGTATTTTAATTTAATATTTAATTATAGCTAATTATTATTTATTAATTATTAATTAATGATTATTATAAAGTAAGTACTACCAAACTATATTGTTGCTTATAAAAGTACATAACTAAACAATGTGTTATTTTCTATGGTCTTAGATGGAATGCATTTTAAGATGCACTTAGCTTTATGGTAATCATTTTTGAAAAATAAACATGATATGCAATATGCATTGTTTTGCATAAACCTACCCGTTGTGAATGAAATGTTGATGTTATATAATAAATGTCTACAAAATGTATAATATATTCCGTACGACATATGGACTAAAAATAATAATAATAATAATAATATAACATGATATTTGATAACAGAGTAGTGGACTGTATAATATAGTAAAAGTATAGGAAATTAGTAAATATGTCCAAACATACTCCCCCCGTTGAAGACCGAGAGGATTTCAACAAAATACAAAATGTGCATTTAACAAATACAATGTATAAAAAAAAATAAAAAATATAAATAAGTAAAAATAAAAAAAAACATTAACATAATATGATGAATGAATTAAATAATAACAAATAGAAATTTATGACTATAAATTAATTATTGAGTAATAGGTAACTTGATTAATTTTGTGATGGGTCTAGTCAGTTCGGCTACAGCTGTGTGGATTTTAACTACCCTTACTTGGCCATCACTGGTACTTGGAAGCAGTTGAGTGATTCGAGCTAATGGCCATTGTGTAGGTGAGGTCTGGATACCCTTCCCTACAACAAGGTCACCCACTTGCAGATTGGGTTGATTGAACCACCGCCACTTGGGCCTGTTTTGTAACGAACATAAGTATTCAGAGGTCCACTGTTTCCAAAATCCTCGCTGAAGTTACTGTATAAGGTTCCACCTAGTCAAACGATTGAGGGGAACTTCTGTTTGTTCTGGTTCAGGCAAAGAGAGAAGTGGCCTTCCTATTAAGAAATGTCCAGGGGTTAAAGCTGAATAATCAGTAGTATCCATGGAGATAGCTTGAAGTGGTCTTGAGTTTAGAATGGCTTCAATTTGACAAAATAAGATGTTTAGCTCTTCAGCAGTAAAGCACATGTCTCTTGTGACTTTATTTAAAATACCTTTGGTAGACTTAATATTTGATTCCCACAACCCGCCATGATGAAGCAAAGCAGGAGGAATGAATTTCCACTGAATTTCTCTTGATTGACAGAATAAGGTAACTGAGTTTTGATGATCAGGTTGCTTAACTAGTTTATACAGCTCACACAATTTATTGTTTGTACCGTTATCGCTACTGATAACGCTTGGATGTCCTCGATGAGCAATAAAACATCTTAATGTAGTAATGAAATCTTCAGTACTTAATCCATCTACCTTTTCCAAATGTACTGCCTAAGTAGTCAAACATATGAACAGTGCTAGGTAAGATTTTGTGAAAGTTTGACAGCGTAATTTGGATTTGACATTGAATGGACCTGCAAAATCAACACCAACTCTATCAAAAGCAGTTGCCAAAGTAATTCTGGATGTAGGTAAATCAGACATAAGTTGTTGACATTTTGTCTTTCGAAATCAATAACATTTATTGCAGTTATGTATCACCTGTTTGACAGAGCTTCTATTGTGTATGATCCAGTATCTCTGTCTTAGAATTGTCATAGTAACCGACAAGCTTGAATGTAAGTTATGTAGATGCACTTGATTGATTATCAATGTAGTAAAGAAGTGATTTTTTGGTAGAATAATAGGATGCTTCATATCATAAGCCAATTCTGAATGTTTGAGTCGACCGCCCACTCTTAATATTCTCTTTTCATTTATAAATGGATTCAAACCAGCAAGCTGACTATTTGCCTTTACTGTCTGACGTCTACTTAGGGAGGTTAATTCCATGTTAAATTCTGAACCTTGTACTACACGTATCCAATACTGCAGTGCTTGGTGCCTCTCACTTACAGCACAGCTTCCGACAGTCTGCTTGGCCTTAGATCTATAGTTCCTGCAAAATCGAATAATATAAGATACAATTCTCACTAGTTTTTCTAGATTAGAATAACGCTTCAGTAATTACAAACTTGGTGAAAGGCTTGACATGGATGTTAATGGTAGACTGCATTGCACCATTCTCTCTTCAATGTTGAATGTAGAATTTTCATAATTTTCTATTACTGGCCACTCTGCCGGGGTAGTAAGCCAACTGGGACCATTTCACCATAACTGATTTGATACAAGCTCTTGGCCGTTTAAACCTCTTGAGGCCATATCTGCTGAATTGTCTGCTGAAGGAACATATTGCCAATTTGCTGATGGCGTCAAGGTTTGAATCTGTCCCACTCTGTTTGACACAAATGTCAACCATCTAGTTGGATCACTACCAATCCAATGTAATATGATAATTGAATCTGACCACAAATATACTGATTGTATCAATATTAATTGATTGAAGTAGAGCATTAGTGAGTTCAGGAAGTAACAGCGCCCCACATAACTCCAATCTTAGAATGGTCATCTTCTTAACTGGTGCAACTTGAGTTTTTGCTATAAGCAACATGAGTACCAAATGGTTTTGAGTGGAAACGATGTAGACTACAGCAGCATAAGGCTTTTCAGAACTGACGCTGAAACCGTGCAGTAAAAATGTACTATGCGCTGCAGAATTCATTATGTGTCGTGGTATTTCAAATGTGTTTAAAAATTTGAATGACATTCTATGTATCTTCCAGGCGTTAAATAAATGTTGCAGAATGTGGTCATCCCACTCTAAGTGCTCTTGCCACAATTGTTGCATTATTAACTTAGCAACAACTACTAGGGGTGCTAACCAACCACAAGGATCAAAGTTTCTTGCGATTTCAGATAATAACTCCCTTTTGGTTAGATGAGATATAACTTTCATGGGTTCCACCCTAAATGTGAATGTGTCATTTGTTGTGTTCCAATTGATGCCCAATATTTTAATGATGGAATCTGTATCTTCTTTGAATGAAATCTCCTTAATTTAGTGTTCAGAGGGTATGTGTTGTAAGGCTTCCCTATGGTTGCTCGCCCATTTGCCCAGCTCAAAACTTCCTTGATTCAATAATGCTATAAGTTCTTGAGTTTTATATAATCACCACCAGACATGACTTTGTCAACATACAAATCATTTAATAAGACCTGTGATCCTATTGGGTAACTGTATTATTCATCCAATGCTAATTGTTTTAAGACACATAAGGCTTGATATAATGAAGTGATCAGTCCATACGTCACTGTTGCAAGTTTATAGCTCTGTATAGGTTTCGATGGATTGTCTCTCTATACGATGCCTTGAAACTGCTGATCGTCCCCGTGAACTTGTATTTGCTAGAACATTTGACGTATGTCTGCAGTAAACACAATGGCTGGAAATCTGAAATGTGTGATGACATCAACAATGTTTTTTTGCATATTATGACCACTAGGTAGTCAATCATTAAACGAGCGCCCATCATTCATTTTACTTAATCCATCGAAAACCACCACTCTTAATTTAGTAGAAGAACTAGACAACCGGCACACATGATGATGTGGCAAATAAATTAAAGGTTGTTGCTCACCTGGTTGAACTAATTTCATATGATTAGAATTTTCATATTCATACATGAAGTCCTTGTACATTGTCCACAGGGTTGGTTCCTTTTTGAAAGCTTGTTCAACCCTTTTCAACCTGCTTACAGCTACTTGATAGGAGTTATTCACAGCAGGTGGTGGCTCTTTGAACGGTAGACGTACCACATAACGTCCACTTTTTTCTCTATAGTGTGTTTTTATAAAATGTTCTTCACAAATCAAATCTTCTTTAGTCATATGAGCAGCTCTAGGTATTTCTTCTATGTTCCAGAAGTTTTAAATGGCTGCGTCTAAAGTAGATAGTACTGCTGTAGTGTGACAGGTGACGTTTTGAGTTGTCGCTCCCTTAAGCAGTAGTTCACAACCACCAGCAACAATCCATCCCAATCAGGGACTAAAATTGTGTGTAGTACGAAATGCCAACTGTGTAATATACGAAATACGAAATTAAAAAGTGTGTAATGGCCTGTAATAACTAGTAACTTTTTTTACAGTTTGTTCTCCATTAATTGAAAAATTATTGTTGGGAAATAGATAAGAATTTTATGTATATTATTTACCATCTAATATCTATATTATCAATATTTTGATTATTTGTTTACTTTCTTATATTATCCATGAATATTGTTATTTTTTAGAATTTTTATTGATTAATCTTACAGTATAGTATTAATTATATTTAGTGTATGATAAAATAATCTATGATTAAACTAATAAGTAATAACTATCAGTTAACGACGATCTATGAATCTATGACTCAAGATTTTATTTTAATTAATATTTAATCAATTTACGTTTATACTTTATTCATTATTAGTTCTGAAAAATTAAGTATTACAATATTAAAATATTAATATTACATAAATGGCTAATATAAAAAAAAAAAAAAAAAATTGAACCAGCTACATCTTATTACAACCATACTAATGATGACATGCCTGTAGAGCATACTATAACGTCATTGAAAGTAATATTAAAAATAAAATGAATGCTTGTTTTAAAAAAAGTTAGAGAAAAGAAAGAGGCCTCCTCGGTAACTCTAAGTTGAATATAAAGTGTGTAATATGAAAAAATATATATTTTAGTCTCTGATCCCAATTCAGTGTTCTGGAGTGTAGGCCAACCAACCTTTGGTTTCGCAGGAATGACCAGTCTTCAGCAACCTAAAAAATAACTCAGCACCAATTAACAAATCAATTTTACCTCTGGTTTATAAAATGTTGGGTCAGCTAAAGGTAAATTATTCATATACTTCCATTCAGATATGTCTATTTTACTTGAAGGTAAATTTGTTGTAATTTTAGGTATAACTAGAGCATTTAATTTGTATTGTTTTGATGTGGTACAAAATGAAATGTCAAATTTTGTTATCTCCCTCACACTATTTGTAGTGTTAGAGATACCATCTACGGTTACATTATGCTTCTGGCGTTTCAAATGTAGATGTTTGGCCAGTGCTGATGATATGAAGTGAAACTGGGAGCCAGAATCTAATAGCGCACGACACATTTCTGTCTGACCATTAGTACCATGTATATATAATAAGGCTGTGGCTAATAAAATTGTAGATGTGGTTTTTGATTGAGTAGTGCCATGATGAACCACAACGTTGTTAGTCATCTCTGTCGAGACAGCTTGAACCTCTTGCCCGTCAGATGCCTTGTTTGTAAACGTTGTCTTATCATTAGTGAGGTGTGATGTATGGTCTTGACGTTATATGAAAAAGAGTATGATGTTTTAATGTACATATCTTACATACCTTACTGCTTGAACATTGATTTGCATGATAAGAGTACCATGGACAATTTAAACACAGTTTTGCTTTAATAACTAGTGCTTTACAATCCTTGAGTGTAGCTTTTGCATGAATGTTTGACACTGATATATTGAATAGGTAACCTTTAGAACATATCGGACATGATTTCTTTCCCTGACCTGTCGAGTTTCATTTGTTAGTGCAGCATGTGTAGTAGTCCGTATAATTGGTTTACCTTTAAAAGTACCATTAACTTTTAGCTGTACAATATCAAGTGCATGTATGCGGTTTTCAATGAACATATATAGATCCTGTCAGGATGGCAACTCATTTGACTTACAACTTTCTATTTCCCAAGTTTGCCTTATGTTATTTGGTAATCTATTCGATACAATATATACTAAAATTGCATCCCAATGATTAACTGGAAGATCTAGTACCTTAAGAGCTGATAAATGTTTTGTAGTTACGTCAAACAGATTTATTAAAACATTCACCGATTCACCATTAATGACAGGTTGTGGATAATAAGTAGTGCAAATGTTTTTGTACTATAAGTCGTTTATTATCATACCAGTTATTGAGTAGTGACTATGCTTCTCCATAGTTTAGAGCAGTTGACGATAAGGTTGAGATCACTTCAGCTGCTTGTCCTTGTAGACTAGTCTTCAAATAATACATTCTATGCACATCATCAATAGTTTTATTATTATGAACTATTGACATAAATTGATCACGGTAAAAGTACCATTCTTCAAATTTGCCATCAAATGTAGGTATATTAATGGATGGAAGTTTTATCAGTTGATGTGCATTACTATCATGCGTTGATGTTTTTGGATTAATGTTTTCTTCTGATCTATTTATGTGTGTTAATAAGTTGGATTTAGTCTGTGCATATATGTCACTTACTTCTTCCAATCCTTCTAAAGGAGTCTCAGTCTTCTCATCCTCAATCGTCGACATCAATTGCTCAAACTCTTTATTATAGATTTCAAAAGCTTGTTCTAATAGTTCTAACTGAACTCTCACTTGATCAGAGTTCAAGTGCGACACGTTTTCGGCGGAAAGATGATTACTCTTCTTCACTATGAGTTTGTATTTGTTACTTAATGTTCTAGCTGACATGATTATAACTTCGCGTGGTAGGTATACATAAAAACGGATGTATTTGGATAGAGAAATCCGACTTGTTTGGACCAAAAATATTTTACATAAACCTATCCGTTGTGAACGAAATGTTGATGTTATATAATAAATGAACACATGGTTTTCCGTTAAATGACTGAACACTGAACGATACAGTCAACAAAATATATAATATATTTCGTACGACATATGGACTGATAATAATAATAATAATAATATGATAACAGAGTAGTGGGCTGTATAATAGTAAAAGTATAGGAAATTAGTAAATATGTCCAAACATGCATTGACCAGCGTATTCCATGTTTAATTGAAACAAATTTCTTGATCAAATATTGCAAAAGTACTAACCTATATCAGATTATTATAAATATTATGTATTTAAAATTTACTATTTTGTGTCACAGAATTAAAAAATTTGCAGTTAAGATAAATTGAGTTGTTAAATTTTTATTAAAATAAATGGTGAAATAAAAACTGGCTTATACAGTTTAATTTTATAACTACATTTTGTAGAAAATCTATAAAATTTAAGTATACTTCAAGACTCTTAAGCTTGTTCGTTTACACTTTTAAAGTTTCTTTAAAAATTTGGAAGCATATGTGTATTTTTTTTAATATTAGTAAATTATTTTTACAGGTCTTATTATGGTAAATCCATATAAAAATCATTAGATATACTCTAGGATGATCAAATTTTTTCAACTGGCTATCTCATACAAACACTCTGCACTATTAAAAAATCTTTGAATGATATAAAAACAGGAAATCAACTAAAATATTGTATACCATTAGTTGATGTTCTAATAGAAAAATAAACACAAGATACTTTTTTAGATATTTTATTAGAATTATTATTTGAATTTTTAATGTTAACTAATTAAATATATTTTTTCCCGTGTCTACTAAATTTAGTAAATAGTAATTATGTAATTTTCAACAATTCTTAACAATTCTAATAGTTTTATTACTACTTTCAATATTTATGAAGACTGTAAAAATATTTTTGATATGAAATTATAACACTTTTTTTATATCAAATTTCATAATTATACATTTTAAACATTTACCTCCCAGATTAAAAAAAAAAAAAACACAAAAATTTGACAACATTTAAAACTGAAAATAATTTTACAAGTTTACTTTATAGCAGTACTAGCAGCAATAGATTTATTTAAATTTCTTAAGTAGAATAACTAGAATATGATTAAACACTATTAATTAGGTACATTATTTTAATGAAAAGAAATAAAAATGTATATTCCAAGATTTAACTGCTTTTTAATTGTTGTTAATAATTTATTACTAATGTTTAAATAATTATATTATAAATATATTGATCTTATTTTTCAGTAGACTTGAAAGATTGTTTCAATCAGATGATTTAAAGATTACCGCTATGTTTATTCCAAAGTTTAAATGGAATTGGGCTGATGTAAATAATATTTCTCTTTTAAAAGAGTTATTTAAAAAATATATATATATTACCATTTGTACAAGAAACATTATCGCTAACACCTAGGCTATTTTTTCTACAAATGTTATTGTCAATCAAACATCTTGAATCTTATGATAAGGATTAGAAACTATAACAATTTCTCATAATCCTCATTATTACTTTATGATTATTTAAAGATAGATTATCAACAAAATTGTAAAAACTAGCATTATTTTTTATAGTTATGTTCATAACATTTTTAACATTTTTACTTAAGGTTTGAAAATTGAATGCAAGGTTCTTTAGTAATTTTATTGTTCTTACATCTTACAGAAACTAAAATCTTAAAACTACATATCATATTATTATACATAACTTTTATACACAAGGTAATACGTTTACATAAGATCCTCATGATTTCAAAAAGTATTAAAATTTTTCAATTTGTATGTTCTCTTTATAGTTTTGTAGATGAAACCAAAATGAGCATTTAGTTTTTAAACAGCAAACTATGTATACAATTTTAAAAATTTGTAAAAAAAAATTGTTTTTTTAATTTTTATCTTTGAATAATCTGTTGATGAGATAAAGCTCCTCCTCAATGTTAAGTATTTTGGAAGTTCTAAACTATTTTTTGTTTGTTACGACCAAGAATTACATTTGCAAATGTTATATATTTGTCTCAGTTAAAAAAATAACCAAAATAATCAATAGTGTAGTACCTATAATAAATGTTTATGGTCATACTAATAATTAAACCACTACTGCATACTCATTTACAACTATTTAGTATCTACTGACGCTTAATCACAAGGAAATATCCTAATAAGATGTAATGATAAGTGATGTCTGATAAACAAGAACATTATTCAAGACGATAAGTACCTATACGTTGAATACTAGCCTAACTTAATAAGTATATTATAACGATATTACTATCTTTTGATACAGCCTCATACCATAAAATAAATTAAATTAATTTTTTTTTATAGTCATAGGTATTATTAAACTAATTTATCAAAAAATGATATGATATTATTATATAAGTTTTATATTTATTTAATATGTCCACGACTTATGTTGTACCTAGATATAATATATTGGTATTTGGTTAAAATAATTATACAGTTATACTCAATTTATTTGAATTATAAGCAATCGTTCTTATTGTCTAAACAAGAATCAAACTATAAATATAGACCAAACAACAATTTATTCTCAGTATAATTTAGAAATTTGAATACTCATAATTTTTATAAATTCAAAAGAACTTGAAGTACTGTGAACCAAGTTTATGCATTAAATATTTGGTACTTTAGTATACAGTAGTTTCATACTTACCTAAATTTTGAACTTATTGATTTTTTAATTTTCAAGCGAGACTTAACCGTTGACACGACGCCGCACTCTCACATTTTCTGTGCTGAATACTGATCGCCACGTTGTGTAACGATTCGCTCCGCCCGTTCCAACTCAACAATGAAACACCTCTATATGATCGATAAATATTATGACATAACTTGCGTTAGGTACCGTCATGCTACATACGCACATTGCGTATGTTATTATACTTTCTATATTTCTTACTGTTTAAAATAGGAAATAAATTTTTATCCCAAATGCAAATATGTCAGTTACTATCGACAATACCGGTTTTTTTTTTTTTTTTTTGTTCTAAAATATCATATCTTTCCTGTCCCTTAACAAGTAAATTGATTCTCTTTCCGCTCTCTGAGGAGTAAAGACTTATGGAGAAAAATTACTACCTAATTAGTTAACATTTAACATCATCTACACTCACAAACCGATCAAACGAAAAAATATTTGATAACATATTTTTATGTAAAAAATTACCAATAAACAAAAACATGACGAATTTAATTTTCCTTTCTTAGCCATACTGATTTAAGAGGTACAAGCATAATATAGTGTTTACAATTTTCGAAAATGCACTAGGTATCTGGTTTTATTTAATCTGTGATTAAAGAAAGGGTTTTCAGATACAAGATTTCAAGTGAACAGTTTTTATTTTTATTTATTTTTTGTGAATATTTAATAACTTTTGTAGTGCTGGAGAAATAAACTTAATAGCTTCATTGCCGTTCAAACTAATGTATCCTCTACACATATTTTGTCTACTATATTATGTATGTTTAGAATATTTGAGTAACTTAGCGTACATCAATGAAATAGCCTGCATATTCTAACATTATCATTGGTATCTTAGATTGGAAATCTGTTCTAGAACATTCTACGTTCCTTTAAAAAATGGTTTTTTTATTAAAGAATATTGTTTGACTTTATTTTTCCTAAAAAAAGGTATTTATACATCACATCTTGTTATGCTGTTCTATAAATTATTAAATTTTAAATACTTTAACAGTTTAACATCTCCTAATTTAAAATTATTCTGTGAATGGACAATTAGCCATAGAATCTGATTCAATTGGTTTAAATGGTACACCCGTGTATACTGTATTAGCTGACGGTTAAAGGTCAAAAAGAAGCTATACGCCTAATTATGATACTACACCTGATGTAGTAGGTTCTAACATTTAATTTTTATAGATAACTATTATTGGGTATAAATCCAAAAAACATATTTTCATTAGAATCCATAACCAGTATTGTATAGTTTACTAAAGAACAAAAAATAAAAATATATCAATACCCAAGTATAGTTCTTTTTTAAGCTGATCGAAAGAAGTAACAAGTATAGAAGCAAATTCAGTTGTAGAGGGTATTAAGTAAAGTATGGAATTAGATGGATTGGAATACAATATACTAATTAGTTTATTTTTAAATTTTTATATAATATTATGTATTACAAAACAATGTATACATATTATATAAAACCTAATAAGAGTGATATTTTACTTTTACTAAGTACACATCATAAATATTTATATGGATATTTTTAAAAAGGTGACTGCGATTCTAGTGTGACTAAAAGCCTCTCAGAAATCATGCCTATAGTCTTTCATTTTGTGTTCAATAAATAAAATGTCATAATTATTTGTTACAAAATAATTATGGAACAAATTTATTGTTAGTTGTTACTCACAAAAATATAAAATATACTATCCATTTAAGAAAATATATCTAAAATAATATAATAAGATTCAGAACTGAAATTATTGTTAAATCAACAGAATATCATAATACATTAACCAAACAATCTGACAATGAAAAACATTTAAGCAAAAATTGAAAAATTGCATGTTTTTTCAAAAATTAAAACTATAAAATCAAAAATGTTCAAGATTATCGAAAAAAGAGTTTCCACAGACTAATAAAAAACAAAGAAATATTGAAATAATTGTAAATATATTGTTTACCATTAATTTTCTTGATAAAATTTTTTAATTTATATCCTTATATCAATATTGTTGATAAATATAATCAAATATAAATAAGTTATTGTTTTTAACAAATATAAGTTCATGTAAATGTAATTTAAACAGATTTTACCATATTATGGGTTTGATCAGTGTGAAAAATATTTTTGTATAGGGATAAAATTAAATAAACATAACTTTATTCCTGATTTTGAAATGTTTGAATAAATATTTAGATATAACTTTACTAATATACTTATTGAGATAACTATTAATACTGTGACTAGGTAAACATAACAATTTTTCTCAACAACAATCACACAACACAAAAGTTAAAGCTGCAGTTATATTATATAATAAATCAGGGAAATTTCTTAGAAAATTACACATAAATACAGTTTATAACAAAAGTTCTAGGAAAACTAGTCATAATTTATTCATAATATATCAGTAAAATTATTAATTATAACATTTTCTTTCTATTGGAGATATAGCGAAAATATTTTTGAAAATGATATAACATACGTTGAGTACCACATAATAATATTTAACAAAAAGTTTCAATGCCTATATTTTATTCACTTAAAATGTGCCTACTTGACTAGAAAAACTGTTGCATTTCCACATGTCTGTCACTACGATAAACGCTGATATCTGTCATTGTGCCACTACGACATGTAGGTAAAAAGATGTTTACCTAGCACAGAATAAATATTTTTTTCACCATACTTTGCTGATGTCAGTTTATGCTATTGATATGTATTAAAATTATTTATGAATTTAATACACCCAATAATAATGAAGTATAGTAGCTTAAATACACAATAACATAATAAGAAATAGCTGCAATAGCCAGTGTATTACATAAGACGTAATACAGTGGCTACTGATATATAATATTATAATATTTATTGTAATACAATCTTATAGTATTATCATATATATTTTTTTAAACTTCAGCATGTACCTGAAATTGTGAGGAATAAGCCAAATCATATTAAATATGTAATAAATAATATTAATTATTATATCATAATAATTTAATATTTCAAAATGGTTTATTCGTGCAAGATAATAATGAGAACTGTCAATATTTCTTGAAATTTTAGAGGTACCTATAAATATACTTATTGGTAAAATACTTAAAAATATATATTTACATTAAAATATCTAAAATAAAAAAGTACTTTATTATTCAGGTTGTTATGAAACACTTATTTTTATCAGGATTAAGAAAATTGTATTCAGTAAACCTTTGTATTTTTATAAAAATTTACGCTTTAGTCATTACATAATATATATAATAAAATTAATAATATATGTAAAAGTTTAAGTCCTCATTTGAATTACAACAAAATCATTGACATTGTTATTCATTGTTTAGTTATGTAATTCTTTACCATATTTACAATTTATTTAAATGATTATAAAAAAAATTATGTTAAAATATTCTTTAAATTTAATATGAATTACTTGAGAGCAACCTAGAACACTTTTTTCAAATGCAAAAACAGTTGGAAAATTCTCATATTTTTTTTTACAAAATTTGAACTTTAAATGCTTATAAAAATAAATTGTGTTTATGGGTTTTAAATATTTTTATATAGCTAAAGATCCAACTTAAACGGTTTCTATATTACATTTTCAAACTTTTCAATTGTTGCAAAAAAAAAAAAAATATAAAACTAAAAAAATTATAAGAAAAATTGTATGTCCTAGATATATCTTACCTTAAAATTCCATAGCAAATAAATTTACTTTAATATTAAAAATGTAATAATAACAGAATTTGCTATATTGTATGTTTGTAAGACCTAAAAATATGGGTATAAAATCTTCTTAGCAGTAGAAGAAATACATATTCAAGCTTAAGCCCCAAGCCTTAGTGTTAAACTTGTTTTCATTTTGCAAAAGGTTTTCAGTTATTAAAAATGTCGATATTTATTTATTGAAAAATATAGGTGAGGAAGACTTTTACTTGTGTTGTGTAAAGGATATCTTTACTAAACATAGTCAAATAAATACAATGTTTATTAATTATTTTTTATTTTATTAATATCAATATTAATAAACAAAATTTGTATGTTTAATAGTTGCCATAAAATTAACCACCAAAATGTATCTCGTGAACTTCAATTACACTTAAGGCCCCTATACCCAAAGATAATAAGGTATCCGTTTTGCGAATTCGAGTTCTTTTATGGAAAAATAATACATTTGATTGTTGTATGCCCTAAAATATTAAAATTTTAAATGAATTAAAATATATTTTAATTATAAGTATTATACAATCACATAGAAACGTTTTATTAGTTAATAGTAAGTATTATCCATTCTAATAAAATAAAATACCAAAATAATTCCTATCTTATATGTTTTGGTATCTCAAAATTCTTATTAATATTGATATATGGTATTTGTATTTAAATAATATGAAAGTACCCAAAATATACTTCTATGTAACATGTTAACTACTGAATAGCTACATTTCTTTTTTGCCATTAAAATATTAATACACAATGTCATTAGACAAAATTTACTTGCTCTTTAAAATGTCCAAATTTTTATAGTATAATAGACCTACTTGTCCACAAATTAACTAGATAATCAGCCATTTTTTTTTTTACCAATAAATGGTAATTTTACTCTCTGAGTAAAATTGTGATGTATAAATCACATGGTTTACAACACTTCTAGTATGCTTATTGCTTACGACTAAGAGTAGTCACGGCTGAGTGACTATTTAAAACCTCAAGTAAAATAAAATTAGTTACTTCATAGATATTATTTTCTTGCTGACAAACAGTTAAATTAATTTAATCAGTATTTAAATAAAACTCTTAATGAAATACACCCTATTTATAAAATATTTTATAATAATTTAGCCTAAAATACAGTTAATGAAACTGTCTAGAATGATTATAATAATAATAAAATACTTAACAAGAGTTTATACTTACTGTTTTAAGGCAGTATTTCTCCATTAAACATTCCAGGGGACTACAGCTTTTGATTTTGAAGTGATTAATATCATTCTCTAGTCCCAGAAGTCTTATAGAAATATCCTAAATACAAAACATATTTGTTAATAATAATTAAGATTTAATAAATACCTAACATAATTCAGTACAGGATAGAAGCATCTATGATGCCGTAAAATACTAATTTTAAAAATCATAGATGAAAAATGCAACGAGAAAAATACTAGATTATACGCCAAGACTAATGAGCTACATATGTAGATATAACCTACCAACGGATGTTGATAACTAACATTTTTGTTCGGTGTGCATAACGCGAATTCGTAAATACTTACTTCTTCATTATCTCCAACAGTCGACATCTTTGAAATACACATATTCAACAATTATAGTTGACGTGTGTAGACAACTCGATCACGTATGGAAAATGGAAATGACAGGACTCTCCGCTCACCAGTGCTTCTCTTTCCATTCGTTTCCAAACTCTGAGTGTATTCCCCTCCTTCTTCCATGTGACAATCGATTTTTGTATACTAACCCTAGTAGTGGGCGGATACCTGATGCTAACGCTCATCTTTCTTTCTTATAATATAAAACCAAAACCAGCTTCCCAAAAAATCCGCCAGAATGCTCGTTTTTTAGTGTACTGGCCAATCGCAAAATTAAAATTTTTTCTTATCACCGTCGTATCACCATTATCGCTTATCTCCCGCCGCCGCCGCCGGCCCGTTATCATCGTCGGTCGTTTATATAATGTTTATATTTATATATTGTTGTTACGCCGTTTTTTTCCGTTTTTCGCCCGATTTTCCGGTCTTTAGCGACCTTTTTCCATCGCGTTCTCGACGCTACGGCCGAGAGCGGGTTTTTTTCGTCCCGTCCGCGCGCGTTTTTCGTTCGGATTCGGTCCTCGGCCGCGTCCGTCGCGGAGACGGCCGGCCGCCGACGGACGTCGCCCATTTTTCTCCGGTTTTTCTCTCCGCCCGAATCGGTGTCGTCTTTTTCGCGTCTGCGCGGTTTCCGATCGCGGCCGTCGCCGTCGCGTCCGGAAAACGCGTTCTCCGTTCGTTTATCGTATCGTCACGTATGCACTATTGTTTTTTTTTTTTTGTTACTATACGATAAATCTTTATCTCTATCGAATACGCGTTTTTTTGTTTTCGGTGTCTCCGCCCTCGGACGCCTCCGCGACCTCATCATCTCGATAGGTTAGGTTTTTTTTTTTTTTGTTTATTATTATTGAAGGCTATACAATCTAAAACTTGTAAATAGTTATTTAGATGGAAATATTATTTTAGTTATTTCAAAGACTGTTGCAGTTTCAGTGAAATTTCCGCCCAATACTTTCAATATTGAAACATAAATGTATGGCTGGTTGGACGAAGGAGGCCGGGCAGAATAAACTATGTATTGTAGACGCTATTGCAATTGAGTTCATGACAATATTTGCCGTGATATTCGCCAGTGGATGCCGTTATTATTATTTATTTATCTTTTATATAAAATTGTCCAGTCACAGTGTTGGTTATTGAACTCCGAAACGGCTTGATCGATTTTCATGAAGTTTGCTGTGTATATTTGGTAGATCTGAGAATAGGTCATGGGCTATTTTTTTAAGCTTCTAACCTCTAGGTGTTAAGGGTGATCCACCCAAAATATTTTTTTAAATTTAACGAGTAAATTACGGTACACAGAAAGCAGCGTATAATTATTATACACCTATTATAGGTATATCATAGACGGTGGTCCACGGTTTTTCAACAACCTGGTATCTGCTACTTGACCTTCTTGTCCGTCAAATTATGTGTTTGATATTGGCTATTGCCTATTGGCGTATAAAAATGGATTGTTTCGAGAAGTTATCGATAAAAATAATAACGCACACCGAGCATACACCATCACTATGCATACCAAATATTCGTATTAATAATGTTTTAAGTTTTAAATGCTAAAATACGTCTTGTCATTGACATAATACGAAAAAGCAGTGCAATAATAATATTGTGTCTGTGACATTAAGTTCGATCTTTTTTTATATTACACTTCATGACAAGGACAAGACGATGGTTAAAATTATTAGGGTTTATATCTTTAAGGGAAAAAATAATAATAATAAAAACGCGTTTTATTTCGATGAAAATCATAACCTTGAACATAATAAGTATACATAAGGCTGTATATTTTCGCTGTCCATTTATATTATATACACAATTCTATACGTACCTGCGTCCAGGCACTTCACATTCTTTCTTACAATATATTTATTTTTACTTGAAAAAAAATATAGACCGTTTAATGTTATAGTATGCGTCTTATAAACAGTATACAATATATAGAATATAATGTATTCCCAGATGTGTATTATAACTATTATTATCAGTTTTTCGATCAATTTAAATCGTTAACTATTAATCCGAATAGGAACATAAAATACGAGTACTTATGCATATTTATAGGTACAATTTGTTAATTATTATTTCTTATTTTATAATATACATTTATTATAGGTTTAATGGCATATCCATCCCAAAGATAAACATAATAATAAAAATTCATTTCGATGGACATAAAGATTTTGAATACAGTAAGTGTACATACCACATAAGGCTACAGAGGCATGATATACATATAAGTATTCACTATTCAGTAACCAATATTTTTTTAAAACACACATGTGTGCAGTGAACTAAAAAGACTGAGAACCACTGAATTATACTTTATACCTTTATCTACGTTTTACATTTATAATATTTTATAATATTATACTCTCCGACAACTGGTCATTTTCAAATAATGCAAAACATTAAATAAATTGAAAAAAAAATCTATAGGTACAGCTCATAATAATATGTATTATATCATTGCATTAATTATTATCTTATAAAATTATAGTTAATATCTTTACTTAAAAAAATGTCCGTTTAAACTTGATTGTTTGTAATTGGTACCCAAAAGACTCACAGCTATACAATATATATACATTATAAACGCATATGTTTTTGCTCTATAATATAAAATATTTAATGTAAATTTAATTTTTTTTCAAAACGATATTGAAACGTATTAAATACCTATCCTAATTACTCTCACGTTTTCATAAGTTTGTTTCTTATGTATGGAATCAATTTAAGAAAGCCGTTTGTCGTTTAGATGCACTTCAAGTGATAAATTTATCGATTTTACACAAGAATAATAAAAATACTATCTCCATGACGCCATCGCAGACTTGTTAAATACAATGTATCCCATGATGTATACATCGGTCTATACCTTGTGGTGATAATGGATTTTCGAAATAACAATGCGTATACTACATTACTACCACCTGTCCATTTATATTATATACAATATGCTATACGTATCCACTACCTGTATCCAGACATCTGGTCATTCCACATTCTTTCTTACAATATATTTATTTTTCAATTGAAAAAAATATAGACCGTGTGTATCATACATATCATTATCAATTTTTCGTTCAATTTAAATTCGTAAACTGTTAATCTGAACAATTCAAAAAACCAATCATATTTGTATAATTTAATTTTTAATTTTTGAAAGTTAATAATAATTATTACTTATTTTATAAATTTATAATATATAGGTTTAAAGCCTTAAAGGTATATAGCTAATACAATTGGGTATAATAAATATATATATATATAAATGTATAATAGTATATTATGTTTTAAGAACCCAGTAATCTGATAATATTACGTAACAGACTTGTTTTAAATACCAATTTTTGTTTCGAAATTAATCAGTGTTACAGATCAAAGGTCGCATAACCGAGATAATTCTTCGCCAGGTTTGGACACTGTCGAACAGGATGTTAACGTTAAGTAAAGTGTGTACTACTATATTAAACATTAGCATATGTTTTGTTAATCTGTAAACAGTATAAAATACCTATAGGTATTTATTTTGAAACTTGTGAGTTATGATCGAATTCTGTAATTGTATGAATACAAATATGATATGACACATCTTGAACTCTGCATCGATATTAATATTAGTTTTAATTTGTTTACTATGAATGTACACAAACACAAAAAAATATATTATTGTAAAATCAATACATTTAGCATTCCGCTTAGAATTTAAAAATCAATAATTATGGAAGTAAAATATGTTCGAATCATATTTCTTGAAAATATAAAATTATTAAAAATGTCAAATAATCAACTCGGTTTACATTAGTAATTTTTAGAATTTTTTAAACAAAATATTTATCTGAATATTCTGAATTCGACTATATTCAATTTTTAACACAAAAAAAATAAAACGAATGGACAGGTTTTATTTTTGAAACTCATGCACAAAGAGTACAATATGAATGTTAACTAAAACCTATAAATTTTGAAAATCAATACAATAGATTACTATTAGTATTAGTATATTAGAAGATGTTGATGACTTAAAAAATATAGCGTAAATGACCAAAAACAGACTGAAATTTTTTCCAAAATTATGAATAATGTATTTTATATTAAAAAAATATCGTATATTAGTATTTTTATGATAAAATATACAAATATGATATTTGATAAGCATATATTATATGTAAAAACATATAAATCTATCCTCGATAAATTTAATCACAAAAAGAATATTCAATAATAATTTACACAACAATAAATAATTACGCCAATTAAAAAATTCCTTTTTTGTCTAATAATATCTGAACGAGGTAAATTCTCAAGTAAATTTGGTATTTACACTAAATTACAGATACTTGTTTCATTGGATATGTTAAAGAACTTTTAGAGATATCTAAAGCTAAAAACTTAAATATGGCAGAAACTCGCTATGGCGTAGATTTTCTCCTTTGGTAGTTCGGAATTAAATATAGTGGACGATTGGTAATTGGGTCACACTTTATCTACCCGTTTTTTTATACAAAATGCGTTTACATTTTATTACCTAGGTATTAAGCCACAAATGAAGTATTTATTTTTAGATGATATACCCAGAGATTAAGCCATAACTATACAACACAAAAATATACCAACGTATGAAATGTATTAAATACAGAATAAGTGTAGTCATATATATTTTTGCTGGACACGTTTTCCTGACACATTGTGAACAAATTTTGCCATTTTGACCTTTGTGAATAAAAAAATATTTATAATTATTGAAAACAAATGTAAATGTTTTTCTCTTTAAGGCATCATAACTTCCATTGTAATTATTAAAAATTGGTTATTTTATACTCGTATATATTATCACGTTACATGCAATATTAAACGTGGATTTTTTGACTGATTAAAAGTATAAGTGAAGAGCAAACAAATTTTGATTTCTTAGAATAATAACATAGGTAGATCATACACCAAAGATATAAATTACGTTTAGTGCCGAATATATGCGGAACTTTTGGACTCTGCAAGACATTCGAATTTATTACCTATCTATACTCGACAATCCAATTAATAATTATTCAAGTGATTATCGATCAAAAAAATAAAAGTGTAGCTGAATTTTTCAGTAATAAAATATATATCGTTAAGAATATTTTCTTAAAAAAATTTAAATACGTAATCTGAGTTGTTATTATAAT